TCATAGCCTCCATTTTTTAACGTACCAGATCAGCAGAGATTTCGTTGTTGGAATTTGGTGGGATTTGACAGTAAGAATTAATGGAGATGCGCATTAAAAGGTACGACTGTCAACTTGCCAGTGGTCCCAGAGGGGGCATTTTCTTGATGGCTGCTTCAGAATACTTCATGAAGCAAATGTCAAACTTGTCAAGGCTGTCACTGTGAAAATGATCCATGTAGCAAGGGTCTCCTTTTCTTGGGAAATAAACAGCTGCCTTATCACTGCAGAGCTACGGTGACAGAAAACTGTCATCTGTCACCAGAAATTTATATTTGTTTCTAATATCCATTGGTAAAGACCTGTTCCAGTTGTACTCTGTATTTTTGCACCACTCTTCATTGTAAGGGTTGTCAGTAATACATTTGAAGAAGATAGCATAGGCTTTGGAAGAAAAATAACTGAGGAATTTTAGTGCTGGATGCTCACCTTTTGCCAATTTAACAGAGAGACTGATTGAACTCCCAATTTTTAGCTGTGAAACTCCTTTTCCTCCAAATTTGGCCTGTGACATTGGAAAGCTAGACTTTAACGTACACAAAGAAAAGCTCTCATAGTTTCTAAAGTCCCTTTTCCTGATATATTTTTGAAGAGTATTAAAAGTATTTTTACCTACTTCCAACTGGTGTTTTGCGAGCTAGAATCTGTGAGGCAGGAGATGAAATACCAGCTGGACACCCTCACTGGAGCTTAGTATATTAGTCATATTACAGCTCTTTTGGGTTAAGATACTATGAAAATTAGTAGTATCTGAATTTGGTCCTGAGTGGTTTTGAGATTATATTTCTAGATTATGCGATAGCATAGAGAACCCTTTACTGATTCCTCGTTATATTAGGATATTTTTGTGTTTTGCATACTTTCTTACTATACAGATGCTCATTTACATCATACTGTAATATATAGCTGTTATATGGGCTACAGTTTGCAAAGCACGCAACAGCAAGTTTATTTTATTAATTATACCTTTGTAATGCAACTTTAGAAACTACAGGTGTGGTGTAATGCACAAATCTGGTGCATTTCCTAGCATAGTTAATTGAGGTGTGATCTGTTCTACATACAGAGTAGTGTCAGATTCCCTGTAGAGTTAAGAATTGTCTAATTCACTGTCATCTTCCAGATTTCATATCATTAACTGGTGGAATAAAAAGAAGTTCTCAGACATTTTGAATGAAATTGTTTGGAGGGGGGAAAAAGAGAAAGGGACACCCAAAACCCTATTTCTAGGCTTTTTTTTTTTTCCATGCCAGAATTTGTCTACAGGGGAATATTCTGGAATAATTACTACAAAATTAACTTTCCACATGGGACCTGTTACTCTCTGCTTGGAGCACCATTTGTAGTTGACCTTAAACATGCTTTCAAAGGAGATGAAGTTATATGACAGTCTCTCTCAACTGTCAGATCAAAATTTTCAGAAATAGGATCTTAAAAGTCCGCTTCTTACCTTTAGTTTTTGGCACCTAAAGACATCCAAATATCAAAGTATTCCCATTAACTTCAGCAAAGTTATTGAATGCTCAATACTTTAATAATAATTCACAACACTTATTTAGGTGGCAGATTGTATGGTCTCAGTTTTAAATTCTTGGCCCTGACTTGTTACTGTGACCCATAAATGCTCAGCTACCAAGTGTAGACTAAGTAGTTTGAAGGAAGACATGTCCATAGGACATCTGAAGACATCCACAGAGCATCCAAAGGACCCTTTAATCCAATACCTTGTTTCCATCAGGGAAAAGGAGCGATGCCTGGGGAAAGGATGAGGAAAAAAGATGATGTAGAAGGTCCATCAGTCCATCAGCATCATCAGGATGCTGATGAGGTGTCCAATCATCAGTGGCTTAAGGAGCTCCTGAGCTGACATTTCAATTCAGGGTGTTGGGTTTAATAGCACTTTGTAAAGCCCTTTGTACTTTCCTTATCACTGTTGGTTTTGTAAATCTGAAAGAACAACAATTCCAGACCAGTAAACTTCATTCATTTCAACATGAAAATAATCTTTGGGCTGTTAAATGCACTTTTTCAGTAAGAGTAGTAATACAGTCTTGAAGGATTCACTTCCCTTTGCTACTCTTACAAGTCACCAGTTCTGTGCTGAGGCATCTTTTAGGTGAGTGTGTTCAAAATTCACTGTATAATATTCGAGTCTACGGTTGTCTGTAGTCAGAAAAGATATGGAGAGAAGTTTGATTTGTGACATCTGCTAGCAAAAACTACTTTGATTGTTGAACATTTTAACATCAAAATGACTGTTCTCTGTTTCAGAATTTTTAGGACAGAAAGTACTAGACAGTAGAGTCTTAGGCATCTGAAAGCAAAATTAGTAATTACATAGAATAGAGATCTGAAATTAATAGAAACGTGAACTGAATTTCTGTGAAACAGAAACTGGAATTCAATATTTCATCTGCTGTGTAGCCACTGGTAATAGCAACTTCACACACTGCCATCATGGACTGTTTTTTAACAGATAACATGAAAATAAAAGGTTTTCCTTTGCTATCCGTCACAGTTAAAAGCATTATAATGATCATAATGATAGGTGGTAATTAGTAAAACAAATATATTAAATATGTTTAATCTGCAGTCTGTTGGCATAATTTCTGATAATTAGGCTATATAGGCTATTTAGCTAAAAATTCAAACATTGTTAATGACATTAGAAACTCCAACCAATTCATTATTCTATGTGCAATCACTGGGATGCCTCTTGGGTTATTGGAAAAAAAGATAAAAAATTTCATAGAAATTTTGCATTGTCAGCAAACTGTAAGAATAGTGAGTCTTCACATCTTGGACTATGGTTATTATGTGTGCTCTAAATTGCCAGTTCAAATCTTTCCCAGGTATATTGGCAGTGATATTGCACTTCTTATAATTTGTAGTATTTTTAATCTGCAGTCTGTTACACTTTTATATCTATTTACACTTTTATATACCTATTTCCCTGTATGAGGGAGCACAAGTCAGAATGTTGGAATAATGACAGGTTGTGTTCTAGGATGGTGGATTAGTTGACGTTGAGGTCAGTAGGGATACAACTCCTGTTGGTAAGGACCTTCAGAAACATGCAGATTTGCTGTTCTTTTATTAACAAATCCATCATGAAAGAACCTGGCTGTTTTTCTATAGCAGCCAAAAGTTCTGTGGGTGGCTTTTTTAGTCAGCGATATTCTTTGTCACCTGTAAGCAGTATGTCTAAGCTTAGTTACACACTGCTCCTTTGTTGTTTCCCGTTCTGCCTTGCCTTTATTTTCTTTAGAAGTTTGACCTTTGTATGTGTACTATACATTTCACTCTCTTGAATATATGCTACACTTGTAATTTCAACGAATCAACAATCTTTGGTTTCACACGCATGCGCAGACATGTTTCCTCACCTGAACTAAGAGAGCCACAGGGCTCACTACATGTTTTAAAGGTAATTGAAGAGATGACAGTCCAGAAAGATACGGAAAAAAAAAATGCATTTAGCCTTTAGTGGTCAGCCATGTAAGTATTTCTGAGTGCCTAGCCTACCCCCAGAAGGGGGGAGGATTTACAAGCAGAATGGTTTGGAGTGTATGTTTCTTTAATAGAACAACTAGCTTTTCAATTTTATTTTAGCGATGTGTAACATAATACAAGACCACATTTTTTTAATGAGATTTTCCATTGCTATTCTATTTTGTGCTGCCCATGTGATCTTCCTATATATTTTGTACCTCTAAATCTCTGTTGTAATTATGCTTACAAAACACCCTTTGATAGTGAAAGGAGGACTAGGAAGCAAAAAGATAAAGTTATTTTCGTAGAAGAATGAAGGTGCTGTTTTAAAGTAGGAAACTGCACGCTGGGTTCCCGGATCCCACCTAATGTCCCTGACATTTCCTTTCTCTCAAGTATTGACTTGTGATGAGCGGTGTTACAGCAGCCGGGACACTTCGCTCCCAAATGTCTATTCATTTGCTCTCCGTTGTGTTTTTGGAACTAGGAAGATTCCCTGTATATTGAATTAAAATGCAGGCAGGAAAACTGGCCATACTTTGAATATGTGATAAGGACTGTTCATGATGCGATGGGCTGCAAGTTGCCTTATAAAATAGTTTTCTCAGTCTTCTCTAATTTATACTTTGGAGGTCACGAATTTGTACTGGACACAAAATAGTATCCTTTCCTATGGAAACAGGCATTATGATGTCACTTCATTTTTTCAGTGAGATCCAGAGGAAGCCGTAGTGAATTATGAGCCCAACTCTTGGAGCTGAAGCTGTAGAATATTGTAAGCATGCTGCTGCCTGACATGCTCATGTTTCCTATTTTAGACCTGACTGATCTTCAGATAACATATGGTGGTACAAGTAATTGGAAAATTGGCAGACCTGTCAAGGAAATATGCTAGATGGGACAAAAATACGATGCTGCAGCACATAAAGTGTCTCTGAAGTTAAATTTATTGTCTTTCATCAAATGGTGAAGTAAACGTATCTGGTCTCAAAAAAATGAAACATTTTTCAGTGGCAGATGCTTTTCAAAAGTAATTTTTAGAACAATGATGAAAGTTCTTGCATTTGAAAGTAATTTAGTGAAAACCTCTGGTCAAGAACAAAGGAAAGGTGTGTAATACTGTCTGCTGCAGATGTTTGAATATGTTGTCATCCGTGTATGGTTTAGTAATTTCTTTATGTAACCATCCAGTAAATTGGTCAGTGAAATATTTACTCATTAAATTATTATTCTACTATAAATGTAGGTGATTAGACTTGCTTAAATTTTGAGTGTTCTTATCATTTTTATTTCAACTCTTGAGCAAAACCAAATGCTTGAATAAATGACATTTTTTGCTTATTTTTATGCTTATTGGTCAGGCAGAAGATGACAAAAGTCTGTACAGAATTCTATACATATGCATAAGTACAAAAAGTATACTTCTTCAATAAGCTGATTAACGTTCAGGTTTTAATTTTCTTTTACAGGAAGATGAAAATGAAGCTGTGGCAGAAAATCCATCTCAGGAGCTGAATTTGGAACAGAAAAAATCAAAAAAATAGGAGATTGCTGTCTTGTTTGAAATATTTGCAAGTTGTGTAACAGTGATTATAGTTTCTCATTGTAAAATTAACAAAAAAAGTTCTCAATAAAGTCATTGAAAATTAAATTCATGCTGCACTGGGGAATTAATTAAGTAGCTCCTGGTGATATTCTTGATTGCATTGAAAGCTGAATTATCAGAACTGAGCACCATACCAGTAAAATTCTAAAAGCTTTTTGAAGACAGTATAGAAAGTTGATGGGTTATTCATCACTAATAGCATTTACTAAGCAAACAGGTCAATTTTTTTGTACTCTGCAAAGCAATGTTATCCTTAAAGGATAGTTATAACTCAGACATATTTTGGTATTTCTGAGCAAGAGCTTTGATTCTTAAAAGTTAGATAAATATGTTCTACTAAATGAATTCTGAAATTTCTTCTGATCAGTGATTAAAATGAATGTTTCTGAGGACTGGGTGGAGGCAAGGATTTTTTGGTATGTACAGTATGTTTTCTTAAGTAATGAGTTTTACATCTTTGCATCTCATGATTTTTACTTGACTTCAGGTCGCATTATCATTTTCTTCCATGTAAACCTTTTCCATCTTCATGTGATCATTGTCTTTTAATGAATGTCAAACTTTTGTCTTGATTAGGCCATCCTACACAGGTCCAATTCCTTCACACCAATCTTTCCATTCTAACAGAGTAAAATAACTTCTTGCTGTGTCGTTAGACCTTTAAGTGAGTAGTGAAAATCTAAAATAAAAACCCCTTCTTCCTGTCCTCATCATTTTGATTTCCAATTTACCTCTGCTTTTTAGCCTGTGCAGGTCACTAAATGGGATGGTTAGTACAAGAAACTCAGATGTAGGTTTATAGCCCAATAGTTTCACAGGTTGCAATGAAGAAACCAAAAATCTTACCGATTCTGTTTTAGGATTAGAGCAACACTCACTGAAGTCCCGCAAGTGAAGTTTATCTTGCTCTAGGAGAAATGAATCGTCTTCAATTGAAAAAGTTCACCTCTTTTCCCACTTTTCCATATTTTTACTCTTACTCCGTATATTGAGTGTTAAATCAGATTGTAAATAGTATTCATCCTCAATTTTATCCCATCTGTATAAATCATAGTTTCAGATATTTTAAAAACAACATGCCTGTCCTGAAGCAATATCTTTTATAAATTCTTTTCTGGTTCATAAGGTTCAAATGTGTGTAGCTTGTGGACAAATTTCATTCACAATTACTCTACAGGAGTTTAATAACACTAGATCTCATTTTAGCGAATGCAGCTATCATGTAAATTAGCATATAAAATAAATTCAGCATTGGTCCGTTTGGTGCAGATCAACCACTGTAGCCATCTCAGAAAGGAGGGGGGATATGATTTTGACTTCACTGCAGTGGAAGAGACAGATTTAGGAAAGACAGAAGCACAGATTTATCATGCAGGACCTTATGGACCGTTCTCTGCGCAGTGGTGTGTAGGATCACAGGGTAGACGAGAACGAAGTGAACGTGTTTGCTTTTTTTCAGGCTAACGCAGAAAGCCAAGGTCAGTTCTCAGAGCTTAGTACTCATCAGGGTCTGAAGAAGGGGCAGGTTTGCCGTTGGAAAGGGCTGAAAGGCCTCTGAATTTTGAAGGACAGAACAAATAACTTCTAAGAAAAGGAGAGAGAATGAGGTTTTACACGGGGCTTAAACAAAGGTAGGGTAATGGCAGGGGGAGCTGCTGGCTGGGATGGATTATGGCCATGTCTTGGCCTCTCTGCCCACCCCCAGTGCACTTTGTTTGGGTTTATTCACCCAAATCATCCTGTCTGAAATTAGCAGATAGGGTCTCATTTGTGCAAAATAATCTATTTCCATTCAGTCCATGGCAGCAGGTTTGTCCTTCTGCTGCGAGTCTAAGCTCTGTGACAGCCTGGGACTCTATGGATGCATAAGATGAGAGGGGTGGTTATTCGGTGTTCAGGTTTTGTATGAAAATATATTACTTGGCTCTCGAACACCAGAGTGAGAAAAATGGTTCAGACGTTGAAAGATACAGAAGCTTCCATTTGATGCATAATGCTGATGAGCTTAAAAGGAGTATTTCTGAATCTTTCCTAAATTCTTAAAAATTTAACGTGAAAGTATAATTACATAAATCATACTTCTAGGTAACTCCTTTTTCAGAAATCCAACATGTCACCAGAAGTCTACAGTCAGGGTTGATAAACAGAAACCTGTCCCTTGGTTAAGTTATTTAATTCAAAATTCAAACGCCGGAATTTAGAGATTTTCACTGCAAAATAATAATAACCAGCACTCTTATCATAATCAGCTGGGTTTGAGATGAAGTGAGACAAATGTGACTGAATCAAAATGCAGTCCTAACTTCATCCCTTCCAGAAAAATGGAGGAGACCTATTTAATAACGTGTGTGTAGACATTTTTACTAAATAGAGGGGGTTTTAACTGATAAAGATCAAATAAAGACTATACAAAATAGGTGACTTTACTTCCTTTATCTTGATTCTGATCTAATTAAAGTTTGCAGCTGAATTGATTTTTTGTATATTCTTGAGTTTTCAGACTACCAGTATGGATTTCATTTTCATCATATTTTTCTTTTCTCAATGTCCGGAGGTTTTTTGGATACAACGCACTGGGTAAAGCAGATGGCTGCAACAGTCCTACCTGACTATGACATGATGCTTCTGAGTGTTACTCTTCGTTAGAACTAAGCTGAAAACCTGATGCAGAATATTGTGGCTTTTATTAAAGGTATGTCCACGCTGCAGTCAAACACAAGCCAGCTTGGATACTGAAAGCAGCCTAGCTCCTGTAGGATGAAGCTCAAAGCTTGTCTGGATATGCTCAAAGGCTAACATAGAGATGGGATGAGCAAAAGTTTAGACAGCTTCAATTCAGCTGGTTACAGCCATTTTTATGGAGCAGGATTGTCCTTGTATGTAAATATACACAAACAGCCCTATGTACGTGTGCCTAGGAAGCCAGTTATAATGTCCTTTTTATTTTATTCTCTCTCCCTCTATGCAGTTATTTAATAATAAAAGTCGCATGCTGCTCTGAAAGTCTAGATGGAGAACTAGTTGTTTCCCACTCCATCCCTCTCATGCATGACAGTGGTGGTGTTCCCCAGTTGGGAATTGCAGTTTTCTGGTTTGCACCAGTGATAGCTATTTTAAGGTGGCTCAGGGGATAATTATGTTTTCCATGCTTGAGGAGAAACTGTCATTTTCCTCACATAGAGCAAATTTACTGCTTTTTGTGCAGTTTATGATGGATTGCCATTGGTTTTTGTTCAGTCCTCCATGTTTGCTCTTTCCCCCTGTGGAACAGTGGGCTATTGAGAAATTTGTGGACTCCAACACTGTGTTTTCTATCACAGACAATCACTTCACCCTCAGAGAAGAGCAAATTTGTCTGTTACTATCATTTTTGTTCTTAGAAAATAATGTCTGACCTTTCCACTCCCTGTTAGTCTCCTGCACCACTCCCTCATATGGGGATCAGCAATTTGAGGTGTGGAAGTTCTTGCCAGTCACCCACAGAGTAATGTTTCTGTTTTATGAGAGTATGGTTTATGTTGTATCATAGATATATCATAGATATATGTGCAGTAGTTTGCTATTAGATGAATTTCCTTACTGTATTACCTAATTGTTGTTGTCATGCAACGTTTCTTACTCTGAACACTACATTCTCACATTAAAGATAGGACTCCAAATGATTGGCATGAGCTAAAAAAGCAAAGCTACTTTTGACACAGATGCCGATAATCTCCTGTTTGTAGCTCCCCAGACATTGAAATAGCTGGATCTAAAATGTTGTGCAATCATAAGGATTCTGCACAAAAGGAAATATATCTTGGTATTTTAATCCCAGTAACTTTCTTACTGGTTAAATGAGAATCCACAGTATTTTGTTATTTTGCTAATGATACATTGAAATGTATTGCTGCACTGAACATTTGGTGCTCATTTATGGTTTTCTTCCCAAACAGCCCTAGTTGTAGCGCATTATATGCGTGAAATGTGACATACAACAGCTAATCCTAATACAATATTCATTTTCTGCTCATTAGAAGGCATTTGTATACCTTTAAATTAAGAAAATGATTTAAACATGATTATTCCTTCTCAGGAGCTTCAATATTTGCACAGTCAGAATTTTTAAAGGGGAAAAAACATACTGACAGAGAAGTATATCACTTCAGTGCTTCTTTGTTATTGCAGTCCCATAAGCCATCTACCTCTTGGTTGGTTGCTCTGCATCACGCTACAGAAACTAACTCTCCCTGACATTAGGCTGGATAGGTTTTACTCTGTGAAAAGTGAAGGTTGATTAGAAACTGACTCTATTTCACATGATGTAAAGAAAACAATTTTTACATAGCAATGAGTAAACGACTTCTATCACCTATCTAAGGCTATAGTGGGAAATCATAGCAGGTAATAAATGTTTCCCCACAGTGAATTCAATGTGGATTCTGCAGCGATGTTATCTGGAGAACAGCATGAAAATGCATGCAGCTATGGCATAATTCTGATTTGTTTTGGAAGAACTATTAATTTCCTTGTTACAAAGCCAAGTAAGAGCAACCCTTTAAAACTGTTGAACCATGAAAGCCATTTCCTTAAGGGTTTTAAATTTGGGAACAGACTCATGAAATTTATAGCTTTGATGAGATATTCTTTGCCTGCAGTCAGAATGAGAGCCAGATCATTGGTTTCCCAGCATGACACCTATGTATTCTTGTGTGCACTAGATATCATTAGGCTCATAATAACACAGCTATCATCACATTAATGTCTGAAAGGTTCAGTTTTGATGCTTGGTCTAAGTCTCTCATTTATACCTACAGCATACTAAACAGCTGAATAAAAACAAAAGCTATACCATACCTATATTGTGCTATTGTTCTGCACTTTAACCAAAAATACAGTAATTTTATGCCTGATCAAATTTTTATTAATTTTTTTCTTGCCAAGTCATGTTGTTTTGAAAGAGCTGCAACGATGAACTAATAGCATACCATGAATACAGTAACAGATAATGGTACAGTGAGACCATTTTTTTCTGGCTCATGCAGTAAGAACAGTAGTGAACATCA